AAGAAAGCGAAACACGTTCCCAGCGTCCTCCCTCCCGGGTAGGAGGCGGGAAAGTCACAGCTGGTTTTCAGGGCGACCAGCCCCAGAGGCCTGGGCCGCGAGCACGGACTCACCTCTGAGTCCGAGTCGGACGAGCTGGAGCTGGAGGAGCTGGACGAGTCGCTGGAGCTGTCGGAGGCGATCCCCGTGGACTCCTGCAGGTCGACGGAGTCAGCCAGTACCGCCAACTCGGGGTGCTCCTGCCTCAAGATCCTGAGAGACAAGACCCGGGTCCTCAGTGCTGGGACAGGCAGTGACGCCCACACGCAGCACCCCAGACTCAGAGCTGAGCCCTGTCTCTCCTAGACGCGCCTGTACGGTGGTGAGGACACGCAGATCCACAGGCTGGGGACGAAACCCCCCATGCTGCTCAGGCTTTCCTGAAAGGAAAACTAGCCACACACAACTCGCTACCCGCTGTGCAGACGAGACAGACGTGCTGCCGAGACGTGAGGCAAACCTTCCTCGAGTTGGTCTTAGTTTTCCCCTCGGGAGAAACAACCTCTCTCGCTCGTAGTTTTTCCTGAACCTTTCCTGGCTGCTGTTTTTTAACCTCTCCTTTCCTCAGCACAGTACTTAATGGTGGGAGCTGGGCTTGGTTACATGGGTTTGTAAGAGACCGGAAGCATCAAGCAACAGAGAGGGCTCCCCCTCGCTGGAAGATGAAGCTGAGCGGGACTGTCGGGGCAGCAGGCAGCCCGCCCCTTGGGAACCTATTCTGGCGGCCACTGCAGCCAGGGACAAAAGACCTGCTGTTCAGGACGGCCTTCGGCGTGACCAAACGGCAGCACGCAGCAGCCTGCGGGACAGAGTCAGTGGGCCTCAGATGCCCGAGAGTCTGGGGAGAACAAAGCCACCACCCTTGCTGGCCCTCTCAGCAGGGAGGTTGAGCACTGAACAAGCCAGAATCCCTCTCTTACCCCGAGAGCTGGTCCCTCCAGGTCAGGGTTGGGACACAGTGGCACGGGGTGGCTGGGGGTGGCTTGCACTGCCGCTGCCCGTGCTGTATCTGTTCTGTGGATAAACAGAGGAGCTAAGTCTCCAGGGCAGTCACCTCGCTCATAAGAACTGAAGGTCATAAGTTCAAATGGGAAGAATGCTTTGCGGTAAGAAAAAGAAATAACCAAAATAAAACCCAAACAAAATGGCTTCCTTTGCTAGTGCTAGCTTTGGGAAACAAAACAAAACAAAACCAGAAACAAAACAGAAAACGAGGCACAATCCCAATTATGACCGTGTTTTGACTGACTGGCTTCAATCAAACATGCAGTCTTACCCTGTCACCTGAAGGCTGGCAAATCTCCCGAGAACTAGCCCTGGCCTTGGACCCACTCTCCTCTACCCGTGAGGTTTTGCGGCCCCGGCTTTCCCCAGGCCTGTCTAAAGTCAGCACGTGTTATGGCACCAGTGGGCTCTTTCCATTTATTATCTCTGGGGTAGAAGTCGGAACAAAGCAAAAATAAGGAGAAAAAAAAAACTCTCTCACCTATACCATTTCCTTGACAACTTTGGTCTTCCTCTTACCGTCTTGTGCCAGACAACAGGGAAGTTGGTGCTGCTGGCAAAATTCTGGGTAATGGCAATGGTGGTGTCAAGGTTGAGGACAACGTGCCACCAGCCTCCTGAAATCCAACAAGTAAACAGTTAAACAGGATTGGTTCTACACACAATCGCTCCGTGACATAAACTTCACATAACAAATAACGCAAACTTCAGAACCTGGGAATTCCTGTCCACAAGGGACAGCTTTAGAGACATAGGACCCAGCGAGGTAAATGCTCCTCCTGAGGGCAGGACTCACCAACGACCTGTTTGTGTAAAGTTTTACTGGAGCATGGCTGCACCTGTTCGTTTATGGATTGTACGTGGCTGCTCTCCTGCCCACTTGGGCAGAGCTGAGCAGTTACAACAGAGACTACCCAGCCCGCAGTACCTAAAATATCTGTTCTCTGGCCCTTTTACAGAACAAATGTGTCAAACCCTGTTAATCCAAAGCTGTGACCAAAACTGTAAAGGCAGCAAGTTCTTCAGTTTCTAGATGGAGGATGCCCATCTTGAACACCCTTACTTCCAACACTCAGCCTATCAAAACAAAGTGTAGTTTTCAGGTGTAGGATTTCCTGCCTCTTGGCTCTTAAGTCACTATTTCCTGACTCAATCCACCCAGTGCTACACTGATCAAAAACCCCATTTATAGAAATAAGCACAAGTCACTGAACATATTCAATAAACAAAGACACTAAGTATCTACTAGGAATAAAAATGAATAGGCTCTCTACATACAGGAAGTTTATCGATAGTCATTATACATTCAGGTTACAAGAAACGTGGACAGCAGGCCCCTGAGCATGTGACCACACAGCAACACATCACAGTCAGAGGCGGGAACCAGTCAGTTCACCCAGAGTCAGCGTGCAGAGGGATTTCTTTGACTCTCCCTATATAGTTGTGTTCCAAAATTACAAATTACTGAAATCAAAGAATGTACTTTCAGTTCATTTGTACCTGGTACAAAGACAGTCTCTCCTGGTTTTTGTAAGATTTCCAGGGGTTTGAATTCGGGTGGCCAGGTTGGAAGCTGTGTCCGGGGATAGATGATATTAAACCAAGTAATAGCTTCATCTTGCTGGTTCCCTCCTTCTTCTCGGGTCACCTTGATGAGTTCCCTGGGCGTGCTGGTAGGGAACAGGCACCAGCGCTTGTGGCCCTGGACTAAGGCATTCCAGGCACTGGTTCCCAGGGGATCGATGTGAATTCCGGTTCCAGAGCGTGGTGGCCCCATCACAAACCACCTAAAGGATGGAAACATCCAAGATGTGAAGTGTAATTTAACCACACATACAAACCACAAAAAAAGCTTTAATTTTACACAAACATGTTATCGTTATTTCAAAGACTACACACATTCTGGTACACAGAAACGCTGAGGGAATTGTGCATGGACTGACCCCTAACAGAAAAAGGAAAAATCACCGACATGTCTTACCGCTGGACTTGAACTATTAAAACATCACTTAGAGATCACTGGTTCAACTTTGGTTGCACGTTTGAATCACCTGGGGAGCTTTCAGAAATCCTGATGCCCAGGCAGGAGGCCCTGGGCAGGCACCAGAAGCCCTCTAAGTAAGTGCCACGTGCAGCCAAGAGAACCACTCACTGTTTTGGAAATAGATTAGCTGACTGCGCTCAGCTGCCCCTGCTGCTGTAGACAAGATCATAACCACACCACTGCCCAGTATTTACCTGTAAGGGGGCCTGCGCTTCTCCCCCGCATACTGGAAAAGGTCATCGGTGAAGAACTTGGGCACCTTGTAGTCTTCCAAAAGTTTCCTTCTTTTGGGGTGTTCCCCATAGCTGCTGTCAAAGATGTAAAGGGGGCTGTCATCTCGGGTGCTCTCCATGTACTCGATGTAGTATTTCATCTTCATCTTCACGGAATAGCCGTCGTTATCCTCACCACACTTGAATTTCTGGTTCCGGTATTTCCTTTTGAGGCGCTCCAGGGTCCATTTCTCCTGCGCGGACCAGCCCTCTTGGGCATTCAGCAGAACCACGGGCTTGTACGGTCTTTCGTAACGTTCCACAAATTCACCCACCGACAACTGTAAGGCGTCTGCCCTTTCCACATTGTCCTGAGGGAATCAGAAAAGACCTATCGCATTAAAGAAAAAAAAAAAAAAATCCGGCGGCAGTTAAGGGTGTCCCCCAAGGCCAATTAGCAATCACATACCCAAGGAGCCAGATTCTATTTCCGGCTCCTCTTAGGGAGGGAAAAGGACCTGCGTGTGTTCGGGCACTGCGCACCGAGCGCCACCGCATCAGGGAAGGGGGGCTTCGCGTCTTCCACTCGTGACTTTTGACAGCCAGGGTCCCTAGGGCCCCGCCGCCCAAAGGGATGCAAGGGTGACAGGCCTCGTGAAGGGCGTCAGAGGCGTGGGACTCCAGCTGCCTCGGCAGGCGCGTTTGCGGCGCATAGAAGGAGGCCCACCCTGGGATCTGGGCCCCGATGACCTCGACCTCCGCGGGGTGCTGGCGAGCCCATCGTAACTCCAGGGGCCGCGCTGGGCGCGGACCCCGGCCCCGGTAGAGGTGCGCAGCTCCCGAGGATGCCCGTGCCCCGCCCGGCCCGCGATCGCGGCCCGCTCACCGCCACGGCCGCCGGGTTCAGCGAGAAGCTCTCGTAGTAGTTGTGCCGGATCCAGTCCAGCGAGTCCTTCAGCTCCGGCCGCGCACTCCGCTTGGCCTCGCGGATCCGCTTCTTGCTCTTGTGGTTCATCCTGCAGGGTCACCAAGTGGTTCCGCGACGACCCCGGCGCAGCTCGCTTCCTGCCACCAGTGCGTCCCCTCCCCGACCCGGGCGGCGGCGGCGGCACCAAAACGTCCTCCGCTCCAGCCCGGCGCCTTTAAAGTCGCCTTCCAGAAAATTCACTCCCTAACCACCTCCCGAGCCTCGGGTTGGGCCTGCGTCGGCCGTCTTCCCCGCCCCCCACGGCCTCTTGCGATAAGCCATTGGCCTCCGAGCCTCTGGGGTCCGCCCTCACACACGCCGGGTCTCCGCCATATTGGGAAGGTCAAGACGCTCGAGGCACCACCTCCCTGCGGCCCCGCCTCTCCCGCACCCCCTTGCGGTTCGCGTCACTTCCGGCAGCCAGCAGTTCCTTCGTGGCTGGCTTCCGTCCGGCTCACAGCTGGGGCCTTCGGCCCTCTGTGTCTCGTTGGTCGGGTTTCGGGTCTGTTCTCGCCACGTGGCCATTTCGTCGCCCTAGGGGTGCTTACCCCCTTTTGCCGTCGGGTAGTAGCGACCTGACGTGGCGCCGGGGAGACGGCCCGAGCCAGTTTGAGAGCACCCGCGCGTGCAGCTTGGCAGCCTGGCGACCCGGCGCCCTCCCCTGCTCCCGGCCTGCCCGGGGGCCACCGACTCCCCTCCGACCGAGCGTGGCCTCCGAAGGCATGTGGTCCGGGCCAAGCGTTTTCGGTTCTCGGAGGAGCCGGGCCTGGGAGCTGAGGGGGCCGTGCTGGAGGTCCGCGTCCCGCAGGTGCGTGCGGAGGCACCCGCCGGGAAGCGCAGTGGGGCTGGAGCGGTTCTCAGCCGACCAGGGGCTATAGGGAGGGGGGTCCGCGGCTTCCCGCCTTAGGCTGGACCACAGAGCGAAATGGTTTGGTATGAACCCGTTTGGCAGATTAAATGTCTTTTAGTAAGAAATTTGAAGACCCTGCTAGGAAGGAGGCCTTTCCATACCTAATATTTCTTGCCAGAAAAGTGGCATTCTTGACACCTAATATTTTTTTGATCTTGTTGAAGGGCTTCTTAATTCAATTTCTGGGGGGAAGAAGGGATTTCCAACCCTCACTAACCAAATAGTTTCTCAGGCTGGCATTGCTTCCTTTCAGCTCATGGCTGACCCCCAACTCTCAAGAGCAATTATATTTTATATACCTCCAGTTTTTCAAAGCACTTTCACATTGCACTGTTTCATTTTTTTTTTAACATCTTTGTTGGAGTATAATTGTTTTACAATGTTGTGTTAGCTTCTGCTGTATAACAAAGTGAATCAGTTATATGCAATAGTATATCCCCATATCCCCTCCCTCTTGAGTCTCCCTCCCACCCTCCTTTTCCCACCCCTGTAGGTGGTCGCAAAGCACAGAGCTGATCGCCGTGTGCTATGCGGCTGCTTCCCACTAGCTATCTGTTTTACATTTGGTAGTGTATATATGACAGTGCTATTCTCTCACTTTGTCCCAGCTTACGCTTACCCCTCCCTGTGTCCTCAAGTCCGTTCTCAACATCTGTGGCTTTATTCCTGTCCTGCCCCTAGGTTCATCAGAACCTTTTTCTTTTTCTTTTTTTAGATTCCATATATATGTGTTAGCATAAGGTATTTGTTTTTCTCTTTCTGACTTCACTCTGTATGACACACTCTAGGTCCATCCACCTCACTACAGATAACTCCATTTCTTTTTATGGCTGAGTAATATTCCATTGTATATATGTGCCACTTATCCATTCTCCATTCATCCGATGATGGACACTTAGGTTGTTTCCATCTCCGGGCTATTGTAAATAGAGCTGCAATGAACATTTTGGTACATGACTGTTTTTGAATTATGGTTTTCTCAGTATATGCCCAGTAGTGGGATTGCTGGGTCATATGGTAGTTCTATTTGCAGTTTCTTAAGGAACCTCCATACTGTTCTCCACAGTGGCTGTATCAATTTACATTCCCAACAACAGTGCAAGCGGGTTCCCTTTTCTCCACACTCTCTCCAGCATTTATTTTTTCTACATTTTTTGATGATGGCCATTCTGACTGGTGTGAGATGATATCTCATTGTAGTTTTGATTTGCATTTCTCTAATGATTAGTGATGTTGAGCATTCTTTCATGTGTTTGTTGGAAGTCTGTATATCTTCTTTGGAGAAATGTCTGTTTAGGTCTTCCACCCATTTTTGGATTGGGTTGTTTGTTTTATTGTTATTAAGCTGCATGAACTGCTTATAAATTTTGGAGATTAATCCTTTGTCACTTGCTTCATTTGCAAATATTTTCTCACATTCTGAGGGTTGTCTTTTGGTTTTGTTTATGGTTTCCTTTGCTGTGCAAACGGTTTGAAGTTTCACTAGGTCCTATTTGTTTATTTTTGTTTTTATTTCCATTTCTCTAGGAAGTGGGTCAAAAAGGATCCTGCTGTGATTTATGTCACATTTCTTTTTATGGCTGAGTAATATTCCATTGTATATATGTGCCACATCTTCTTTATCCATTCATCTGTCGATGGACACTTAGGTTGCTTCCATGTCCTGGCTATTGTAAATAGTGCTGCAATGAACATTGTGGTACGTGACTCTTTGAATTATGGTTTTCTCAGGGTATATATATGCCCAGTAGCGGGATTGCAGGGTCATATGGTAATGTTCTATTTTTAGTGTTTTAAGGAACCTCCATACTGTTCTCCATAGTGGCTGTATCAATTTACATTTCCACCAACAGTGCAAGAGGGTTCCCTTTTCTCCAGCATTTATTGTTTGTAGATTTTTTTTTTTTCCCCCTTCGGTATGCGGGCCTCTCACTGCTGTGGCCTCTCCCATTGCGGAGCACAGGCTCCGGACGCGCAGGCCCAGCGGCCATGGCTCACGGGTCCAGCCGCTCCGCGGCATGTGGGATCCTCCCGGACCGGGGCACGAACCCGCATCCCCTGCATCGGCAGGCGGACTCTCAACCACTGCGCCACCAGGGAAGCCCTGTTTGTAGATTTTTTGATGATGGCCATTCTGACCAGTGTGAGGTGATACCTTATTGTAGTTTTGATTTGCATTTCTCTAATGATTAATGATGTTGAGCATCTTTTCATGTGTAACAGCAGCTGGTGTTGTAGGTATTGGCAGTAGCAGTTTATAAATATGAGAAACGGCTTAAAAGGAGTTGAAGGCTGGAGTGGAACCCATTTCTGGCAGTTTCTAAATGGCTGCACGTTGAAATACCCCTTTGGATTTCCTTTTGCTGCACCACACAGTGTATGGGATCTTAGTTCCCCGACCAAGGATCCAACCCGTGCCCCTTGCAGTGGAAGTGTGGAGTCTTAACCACTGGACTGCCAGGAAAGCCCTCCCGACCTCCTTTGGATTTCTTCCCAAATTTAGGGAGTGGGTGAAGATAGGCCTTGTGAAAACAGATACACTGTTTTTTTTTTGTTTGTTTGTTTGGTTTTTTTTAACACCTAAATCTGCATAACTCACTCCTCAGGTCAGAAATCCTTCATTGTACTCCTGGGTAAAATCCACCAGGGCAGGCATTTTAATCATGCCTAGCGTATTTTAGGCACCAGTATTTTTGTTGAGTGTATTGAATGATTAGGTTCAGACCTTCAGTTCCTTCACCTTTGATATTTTTACCTCTTCAGCCTCCTTTCCTACCTCCCCAGGAGGGGCACCCTTTGCTCTAGCAAACAAAGTCTTGTGATTTTGCAGTTTAGCAATCGCTAACTTTGTATACTTACTTTGTACTAGGTAGTTTTCATCGAATCTTCCTAACCTTTCTATACAGATACTATTTTGCAGTTGAGGAAACTGAAGCACAGACAGGTTAAATAACTTGAGTGAGGTCACACAGCTAGTAAATTATAGATCTCAAGTTTGAACTCAGGCAGGCTCATTCTAGAGTCCTGAGCTATGTTACCTTGCCTCCCTAAATACCATGCTCTCATCATTCAGTGCCTCACCAAAGGCTTTGTAAGTTGCCTACCTTCCTAACTGCAGGATTCAGCTCTTACTCAAACCTCTTCTAGGATGTCATCCTAGAACCCCACTGTTCCTCCTTGGCATTACCAGGTTATGCCTGTGCTTAAAATCCTCCAGTATCTTCTCACTGCACTTAAATAAAAGCAAAGCTTCCCGTGCCCTACAAGACCTCACAAGTCTGGCCTCTGCCTTCCCTCTGACCTGTGCTTGTACTACGCAGCCCTGCCTCCAGCCCTCAGGCCCACACTGCCAGGGCTCTCTGTGCCCAGTGAGAGGCTTTTCAGTTCCTGCTTCAGGGCCTTTGCCTGAATCATTCTCTCTCCCTATCTCGAGCAGACCCCTTGTGGTCACTGCCCACTCCCATTTCTCTCACATTACCCTGTTGTATTGTGCTTGTTGCAACCAAAAATATCCACTTGCTTACTTGTTGCTTGTCTCTCCCCTGTAGGAGATAAATATATGTGTATGTAGTTCATATTCCAAGCGAGTTACATCCTCAGCCTGTAATAGCCACTAAGCCACTCAGGCCCTGGATAAACTCTTGTTGAGTAAATGAAGGTATGAAGAATGCTTATCACATGGTATTGCGATTTTATATCCCGACCCTCCCCCCACCATAGGATGCAAACCAGAGAGAGGGAACTGTTTTTGTAATGGATGCCAGTGCCAAGCGCTCAGTAATTGCTGTATAAATATTCTTTTAAAAAAAACAAATTTATTTTTGGCCGCATTGGGTCTTCATTGCTGCGCGCGGGCTTTCTCTAGTTGCGGCAAGTGGGGGCTACTCTGTTGCGGTGCTCGGGCTTCTCATTGCGGTCACTCCTTTTTGCGGAGCATGGGCTCTAGGCTTGTGGGCTTCAGTAGTTGCAGCACGCAGGCTCAGTAGTTGTGGTGCACAGGCTTAGTTGCTCCACAGCATGTGGGATCTTCCTGGACCAGGGCTCGAGCCCGTGTCCCCTGCCCTGCCAGGCGGATTCTTAACCACTGCGCCACCAGGGAAGCCCTGTATAAATATTCTGACTTCCAGCATGAGTTATTTATGGCATACAAAAAAATTCTTTTCAGGTCCTGCATCTTCAATATGGAATGTATGTTTGGCCCTGTGCTGTGGTCCTGGCCCAGTACCTGTGGTTTCACAGAGGATCTCTGCCAGGAAAGGCTGTCTTAGAGGTACAAGTGCCCTTGAGGTTTGCGAAAGTCCTAGATTATTTTCCAATTTAAGTCTATATGCTGGTTATTGGGTTTTGTTAGGTATTTTTAAGTCAGGGATGATCTGGCCAGCTTGTGAGGCAGGTGAGCTAAGAATGGTTTTAAAAGTGTTTAAAAAGAAAGTATGCACCAGAGACCATATGTGGTCCACTAATACTGTCTAGCCTTTTAGTTTTAAAATGTATCCCTTGCACCACTCCACCTGGCTCGACTGCTGAAGGCTTACAGCAGAAATACTATACTTAAACCCAAAGACTAACTACAGAAGCTTAAGAACACCTCTTAACTTTTGCAAAACCATGTAAATGAAATGAAGGCATTTGGTTCTTACTTCTGGCCCAAAGTAGTGATGATTGTCAGCAATTCGGTAAAGGTCGGGAATCTCTATGCCCATCCTCAAACAGGAAGCGTGTTTCAATTGATGCAAATAGTAATATTTATGAAGGCACTCCTTGGTATTATTCCTTAGTATGTTTAAGCTCCTTGCTGCTCTCAAGACCCAGCTGAAAATCCCGTTAAATATAAGAAAGTCATGTCGCAGACCTGTCAGGTTTTAGCCACATGAAGGCTATTTATAATTGGTAGTAACAACTGAATGGCTGGTTGTGCATCCCCATCACCCACTGAGCTTTTAGAGACCTGGTGTCGTTTATAATTAGCTCCTTATAAATGACAGACCCTCACAGTTCAAATCCCTGTTTAAGGGTTGTCAGTTGCAGAATTGAGGGCCCTTTAAAATGTTGAAATGGGCTATAACTCCTTTGACCCAATTAGAACTGCCATGACAAATCTGGAGGAAGCACCACATAGTAAAGCAGTGTTAAATTATGGCATGTTTTATAGATATGGCAAACTATCTTTACACACTGACCAATGCAAGCATGAGACGAGAAATCATGTGCCAAGATCCATTAATTCTTTGCAGTTCTAAGCAAAACCTTTAACCTTGTCATTAGATTGGAGCTGGAGTGAGCCTTCCAGGAATTATGGCTGCAAAATGTGGTGCTGAAGTAATACTGTCAGACAGTTCAGAGCTGCCTCACTGTCTAGAGATCTGTCGGCAAAGCTGCCAAATGAATAACCTGCCTCAGGTGCATGTTGTGGGACTCACATGGGGTCACGTATCTCGGGATCTTCTGGCTCTACCACCACAAGACATTATTCTTGCATCCGATGTGTTCTTTGAACCAGAAGGTAAACCTTTTTTGCTCTTCTCAGTAGTAAATTTAGTCAGAGATACAATGGAATTAAAGTCTATTAAGAAGTTTTTTCTTCCCAGACTTTGAAGACATTTTAACTACAGTTTACTTTTTGATGCAGAAGAACCCCAAGGTCCAGTTGTGGTCTACTTACCAGGTAAGAAGGTAAGCCTGAACAATCCTGCTTTACTCCCAATTTTATTAAAAGTTAACCCAAGCCTTACTACTCTACTCATTCAGTGTGTAGTTTAAGGATATGAGAATATATCTAAAGCAAAAACAGGAAAAGCTTGGTTTTTAAAAAATAATCATTTATTTTTTTTTAGTGCTGACTGGTCACTTGAAGCTTTGCTCTACAAGTGGGACATGAAATGTGTCCACATTCCTCTGCAGTCTTTTGGTGCAGACAAAGAAGATATAGCAGAATCTGCCCTTCCAGGAAGACATACTGTTGAAATGCTGGTCATCTCCTTTGCAAAGGACTGTCTCTGAATTATACCTAAAAGCTGTTTTGGGACAATGTCAATACTGATTAGCAACCTGGGAAAGCCAACTGTGTGACTCAGACCACTTCAGCTTGAGTACAGTGGATCTGAAGATGGTCAGATCTGTTGGCTTTAGATTGTGATGGGTCACATAACCATTAAAACAAAAATTAAAACTCCTATAAGAAAAAGAACCTCGACTGTTCCTAAGTCATTAAAATAGGGCATAAATTAGGTTATGAGAAGAGGGTTACTCAAAACCTTAACAAAGTGCTACCTTAGAGCATTGAGGATAGTAGGTACTGAACTAGCATTTCCACTTTATAACTTAGGGAGGAAAAATCAACTACTAAACATTTCACTTTCATTCTATACAGTCAGTAACATTCACAAGATAATTGCACAGGTCTTTCAAATAAACGGGGGAAAAAAGACCAAGACATATTCTGAGAAAAGCTAACACCAAGAAAACGTTTTAATTAAACTACAGAAACAATGGTTATAGTACAGAATATTCATGAGCAAAAAGATACACCATGTTATAAGTACTTACAAAGTTACAAACCATTTGTTTCCTTAACATTTTCCACATTTTAAGTTCATACATGAAGATGATCGGATTTACCATTTTTTGGGGGGGTGGGGGAGAGGAAGAAAAAAAAAAGGTGTATTTATCATCGCTAGATGTGCTCACTGTATGCTCCGTTATTTATATGCAAGGCCCGGGTGACTGGAAGTGCAGTTGTCAGGCATTTTAATAAACTGGACAGCCATTTGTTTCTGCACGACAAGGCATCTTTACACAGGAGCAATCAGGAGAAAACAGGAAACAGCCAAGCACTCTGCACTGCAACACGCCACCTTAACAGCTAACCAGCATTACTCAACTGCTACACAACTGCGCCTAGTGCACAAAAATACATAAGAGAAGAGATTAGAATTGTGTTTGGTAAACAATCCTTTTTTTTTAAAAAAAAAAATCAAGTCTTTTCACCTGAAAAGTCTTTATACAAATTTGGGTTCAGTTTACCATTTAGACCTGAAGGTAAATAACATATACAAACAATTTACACCAACTTTCGTAGGTTTTAAATTTTAAGGTATGAAGGCAATGTTGAGTCAATCTCTTGACAGCTTTAGGCTGTGTGTAATGGCTGCACACGTTTCCTTAAAAGTCAGGAGGCCACAAATTAGGTTACCAATCTGTTTAATTTCAAACAAAAAAAGTCAGCACTATATAAACAAAAAGGAAATTTTACCTCAAATATCCAAGCCAATAATGAAATCTGAAGTCGTTCACCTCACTAAATTACAAGAAATTTGAATAACAGCAACAAAATGGCACATAAAATGAGTTTGCCACCTGAGGCAAAGCTTAAAACAAGTAAAAAGTTAGACAAAATGTTACAAAATAACCTTTTCAATAGCCAGTTGCTTGTTCCAAGGACTCTTCAGCGGACTGAGTACTGAGTACGTGGGTCCTTTTTCCCCAAGTCTTCCTTTATGTTGCTTGTCGACATATCTAGGTTTGAAAAAAAATAAGTTCAGTTTACCTTCCATTATTATGAAATCACCAAAGGTGCACATGGTTTTAATTTCAGTACTTACTAAGGGTCTGGTGAAACCAGTAGGTTACAGAAAGGTTCCAACCAGCCACTAATCAGTTTTTTAAAGGCCCAATTAGGAAAATTTCACAAAGGCTACCGTCAGCATTAAAAGTTTGTGTTTATGTATTCTTGGCCAAATAACCCAGGTGAAAAATGGTAAGGGGGGAAAAAAGAAAAGAAAAAAAAAAAGAGGGCTGTATCCAAACAAAAGCAACTCGAGATCAGACAATTAGTCTACATTTTAAGTTTTTAGTTTTCAAATGAAACACATTTGGTATTTCAGAATGCTTTAACATCTGAGCTACTTAGGGCCCTTTCCTTTTAAAAAATAGGACCAAACAATTTGAGAGTTAAAGACACACTATCCTTTCCCCACCCAGTGCAATCAATACCTGTAAACTTTTGGTTCCAAAAGTTCATTGCTTCGTTTTTGCAATTCGTTTGCGCCACATCCATTAGAATATGAAGTCCCAGTCAGCACAACAATAGTTGAACTGATTGTTTTCTCTAAGAGGATAGTGCATCTTTAACATTTAAAGACAAACCTGCTCCAATACACGCCCACAGAAACTGGTCCCTGGAGGATCAGCCAAATCAGTTAAAATCTGCAATACTGGCCAATATTCTTTTATCAAACAGGAGACCGCAGCTTTAAAGGGGAAAATGCAGACGTTGGATAAAAACAGCAAGAAATAGTCATTTTCATTAATAGGTCTCAAAACAGTTTATGAAATAGCCATTATTATCTAAGCTTCATACACATCCTTTCTGCAGACCCCTCTCTTCAGTTTTACTCCCAAAGCCGAGTTAGCTCAGAGAAACACTCCTAACACGAGGAGTCACTTTTCTATTAATCGAATCAAAACAACTACTCCAAACCCCATTTCTGAACTCGGGCCATGAGTCTCGGAGCCCCGCGGACATTACCATTTGCTTAAGAGGACACCGCTCCTTCCTCTTCAGGAGACTTGGGAGGACTCTTGGATCGCGACCTGGACTTGGACTCCCTCTTGGACACGGGTGGAGGACTCCTGGACCTAGACCTGGACCTGGACCGTGAGCGAGATCTGGAGACAGACGAGGACTTCGACTTGGACCTTCGCGCCGATCTGGACTTGGAAGTTGATCGCGATCTTGAGCGAGTACGGGACCGAGACTTGGAGCGGCTGTAGCGAGATCGACTCCGGGACCTGGACCGGCTCCGACTCCGGGATCGGCTGCGGCGACGCCGCCTAGGGCTGCGGACAGGGACGGCGGCGCGTTAGGGTTTCGCGGCCCCGCCCGCCCAGACCGCCATTATCTCGCCGCCAGACGCCATTTCCCTGGTCGCGAGAATGGGGCCCCCGCCCTCTCGCAGCTCGCCGGCTCTGCCCGGCCGCCACCACGTGTCCCCAGCAGGCCTTTGTGAGTCACCCAGGCCCTCCCGGAACCCCGGACGCGACGCCCACCCGCTTACCTGCGGCTCCGACGTCCGTAGCCACCGCCCCCGTACCTGCGGGGCGGGGGTCCCCGGCGGCTATGGTGCGAGTCCGGGGGTCGGCCGTAGCGCGCCATCTGCACCCGCAACTCGCGGCCGTCCAGCACGGCCCCGTCCATGGCGTCCATGGCGTCCTCAGCGTCGCGCTTGTCGTGGAAGCGGACGAAGGCAAAGCCGCGAGACTCCTTGGTGTAGCGGTCCCGCGGGATGTACACGTCGCCGACGCGTCCGTACTTCTCGAACACGCGCCTCAGGGTGTCTGGCGAGGTGCGGTAGGTCAGGTTGTCCACCTTGAGGGAGGTCATGCCCTCCACATCGGGAGGCGGGCGGCCGTAACTCATGGCTCTGAAGAGTCGGGCCGGGGCCCGTGACTGCGCGCCGACGGACTAACGCCCCGGCGGGCTCGCGCGCTCGGCTGCGGCGGCGGGTTCTTCAGACTAGCTCGGCTCGACGCCGCGCCTCTCCCCTGGCGGTTGGTTTCCGTGTGGAAACGTTTGGAAAGGCCTGACTAGGATAACTGAGAAAGCACAACGCACCTAGCCCCACCAGAGAAGCAAGTGGGCCGGCGTCTGGCTACAGTGCCCGTTTATATCCCTCCTCACAAAATGGCGCCCGCGCCACCCGGAAATGAATCCTCTGATTGGCTCGTCTCGCCCCGCCCCTTAACGTCCCTGCCGCGCGCCCCGCCCCTGTCCGGCGCGCCTGCGCAGAGCTCCGCGGGCGGGTCGAAAAGCGCGCAGTCACTGCCGATGGGAGGGGGAGTGGGATTTGCCGGCAGTTGGAAAGCCCGCGAAACGCTCCTTCCGGCTGCGAAGCGCGCTGTGACGGCAGGAAAGGGAGGTGCTCCCCTACTGGGCTCCGCCTCCTTTTCATGCCAATTTCTAAGCTCCACGCAGGTTTTCTGCTCGGACGTCCGCCCCGCTTCTGTCGGGGGGCGTACTCCTTCACCTTGCCCCTCTGTGTTTGCGGCCTCCTCAGACTGCGTCTCCAGGTCCCCTTCCGCAGTTCCTGTCTCCTTCGCTGCGTTCCGCTTTTTAGCAACCCCCCCCTTGCCGGAGCCCGCAAGGTCGGCCCCGCTCCTCCCGAGCGGGTGAGGGAGCCCTAGCGGCGCGCTTGCACGTCCCGGGTCGCCCAGGACTACATTTCCCAGCAGGCCTAGCGGCCGGCGCCGCGGCTGCGGTCAGGTGACCGGGTCTCCTGACCTGCGGTGAGTCAGGGCAGGGAGGGCGGGGCCGTGCTGGCCGCTGCCTCTGGCCCTTGGACCTAATCCCCCTCTCGGGCCCCTTAAGTTGCCGCTACAACGTTCTTTGCGCTTCTCCGGGTGTTGGGCTCTTCCCTACTCGGATCGTGTCCTAGGAATGTCCTAACTATACCCGTGGGGAGAACTTCACCCTAAGCCCGGGATTCCACTGCAAGACCTGGAAGTTGACACCTTGGCTGCACCGCTCTTGGATTTGCCTCCTCCTCTCACCATCTCATTTCTTCTCCCAGGATTGCAGTGGGTTCCCCCCGAGGAGAGCTGACTGCCCTCTGCTGCTGCCGACCTTTTGGCAGAGTTAAGCCAAAATGTCCCCGGAATCTAAAAAGCTTTTCAACATCATTATTTTAGGAATTGCCTTTATGTTTATGTTCACCGCCTTTCAAACTTGTGGAAATGTAGCGGTGAGTTGGAATTTGATCTTCCTTTGAAGTGCTTATCATAATGCATTCCAAAAATGATAATCAGCGTTATGTCTAATAATGCGCTTAAGTTGCACCTTTTATTTTGTCACCTACGCTTCCTCGTTTTCCATGATTAGGTTTGATTTCATGTGGCAGACGTTTCTTGTTGGGGTCGTTTATTTTTCTTAACTTGATTTGGGGTTTGTATGCTGACCCATTTATTTTTTATTTATATTAAGGACTATATTAGCACTTGGAGAGTTGAGGGACTAAACCTAAGGCCTAGTTTCAGATGGTCTTCACCCTTCCCCGCCCCGCCCCCACACGCCCCTCATTGGTTTGCCTTCTGTTCTGTAGTCCATTCTCTTCTCTCGTGTTAGAATTTCAGTATTAAGTATTCAGCATCTTGAATTTTTACTTTATTCCAAGTATTTGGAGAGCGACTTTCTGGGGTGAGGGCAATTACAAAAGGTTTTCATTGATTAGTTTTATCTTCCACACAGCAAACTGTCATCAGGAGCTTAAATAGCACAGATTTTCACGGCAGTGGCTATACCAGGTATTGTACTGTATGATTGGTTTTACTTTGTATATCACAGATGTTGCTTAATTTCATCAAAATCACAGACAACGTATTGTAATTAGATTATTAGTGATTTTTTTTTTAGACTAGGAGAACATAATAGGATGAAGGTTATGAGTTTAGGTTTCATATAGAATTAGACACTGGGTTTGAAATACTGGCTTCAAAACTTAATTACTGCGATATCTTAGGAAGTTGCTTCTATGAGCCCAGTTTCCTTGCTCAGATCAATGTGTGTAAAGCGCTTGGCACAGTGGCTGGCATTTAATAAGCACTCAGGTATTGTCATAATTACATCTTCCAAATCCTAAACAGAGGATGTTTTATATGACTCTTGAAATATTTGGTCTTCCTGTTTTTGTGATTTCGTAATTATTAATATATTGTCATCAGGAGCTTTTAGCTTTTTGTTAAGGTGTTTAGTGCCAATTTTACAGGTGGAGAAAATGAAGTGAAAAGATCTTCATAAGTCACTAGTACGTTGTGGTTGCAGTTGGGAATGTAATACATACCTGTATGTAAACACTAACAGATTTCTTACTTTCTCTGTGGTTAAATACTAGATTGCAGCCAACCCCTTACCCGCTTCCTCCCCAACTGTTCTTATTTGGTTCTGTGTTACCTAACCTAAATCTGACCTTATATATGATAATTGAGAGTAAAAGGATGCTAATGTCCATTTTTTCAAGTGATTAATAATTATACCACAATTTTTTGTAATGTTTTGCCTTCATGTATACTGTAAAGAACAAATGAAAGAACATTTGATATTTGAGAGATTCATAAAAGCCAAAGAATAATTTACTTGGATTTATAAATAGTGACTTATAAATGACTCTTGAAATGATTTTAGTCACGCTTTGCTACAAGACATATATACTGGGGCCAGGTCTACAGTAGCTGAATAATGTTCAAGTGAGACCGTTAGGTTGAGTTAAATAAATTCTGGTTTAAGCAAGTTATAACTGTGTGATTATTTATAGCAGTGAAATTTCATGCTGTTGCCAGGAGTTGTAGGCTAAATTGTAGAGCAGATTGGTTGACTAGGGCCTCTTGGAGTCAGATTACCAGGGATGGGATTCTGGCTCCACCACTGACCAGCTATCCAGCTTCACTTTTGACAAGTTACTTACCCCTCTGTGTTTCAGTTCTCTTTTCTATAAAATGAGGATAATAATACGTTTTTCATAGAGCTGTGTTAGCTGCTATTATAATTTACTGGTACATTAAAAACCATATTGTCTAAGGCAGACTGATTCAAAGAAACATTTGACAAGACTTCAATGTTTTGTACAAGTGAAAACTTTAATATGACATTCAGTGTAAGGATATAATTATAAATTCTGACTAAAGAATATGAGTGCTTATTGCAAAATAAACTATAGACTAAGTGGGTTTGAAAAAGTGATCTTTTGAGACAATCTTTCAAGAGTGTTGTTTTTTTCCTTTTGTGTGTTATGTGTGCAGCATGGCAATTATTTATGGAGTGTTCTCTGCTTCAAATTTGATTACACCATCAGTGGTTGCCATTGTAGGACCTCAGCTCTCCATGTTTGCTAGTGGTTTATTTTACAGGTGAGTAGTCCAATTTTCTTTCATTTAATTAGAACACCTTCAGCTTCTTTCAAGCACACAGTAAACTTTTAACAAGAACTTGCTGACTCGGATTGAATAGATTATAGGAAGTATTTTAGGGATTTGGTTCTCTACTTCATGCTCAGGGATACCATTGTTTTAATGTGATGGAATTTGTGTATATTTGCTTTCATCTTACCACTAATGAAAACAGCATCCAAAAACCTTTTTCTACACGAGTTGAAAAGAACTCATGAAATAATCTTATTTTGTATCAAGTTGAGTAATGGGAATTAAAACGAAATAACAACTTTTCTTCTGGGCTATAGAACTGCAGTCCCACTGTGTACTGAGCTGTTGGCAGAGGCCAATTGCAGACCTTTGTTCAATGTCTCAGTTCACAAATTTGAAATAGTATGTTAAGAAATGGATAGGTCACATTTATCCCCTTTTTTCCAGTAGCAGAGAAGCCCTTTACAGGTTGAATTTTTTTCTTTTCTTTTTTTTTTTGGCTGCGTTGGGTCTTCCTTGCTGCACGCAGGCTTTCTCTAGTTGTGGCGAGCAGAGGCTACTCTTCGTTGTGGTGCACGGGCTTCTCATCACGGTGGCTTCTCTTGTTGCGGAGCACGGGCTCTAGGCGTGCAGGCTTCAGTAGTTGCGGCTCATGGGCTCAGTAGTTGTGGTTTGCGGGCTTAGTTGCTCCGCGGCATGTGGGATCTTCCTGGACCAGGGCTTGAACCCGTGTCCCCTGCATTGGCAGACAGATTCTTAACTACTGTGCCACCAGGGAAGTCCTACAGGCTGAATTTTAAAAGAAGAGATCCCTCAGAATTGATTCCTAGAAGGCATAATTGGCATTCTGTTTCAGGTATTGTTTGACTATAATACGTTGACCTGTTATATTTTAGCATGTACATTGCCGTTTTTATCCAGCCTTTCCCGTGGTCCTTCTACACAGCCTCTGTTTTCATTGGAATTGCAGCTGCTGGTAAGTATTTTGATGTTCATTTTCCCTATTTTCCAGGTCTTATCTAAGAGTATTATTTATATGTTTAATGTATAAAGCTAAATGATTTCATTCCCTTGATAAACTTTTGGTTTGAATTTTAGTACTTTGGACAGCACAAGGAAACTGCCTGACAATAAATTCAGATGAGCACACTATTGGGAGAAACAGTGGCATTTTCTGGGCACTCCTACAATCCAGGTAATAATTCTTATGGCTCAATCTTTCCTATAATTTTTTTTGTCACACCATTTGTTAGACCCTGGTTGTGTTGAAAACTCAGATCTTCTTGTTTCATGAGTTGAGTTCCTAGGTACATGTGATGGAGATTTAAAATTTTATGGGATTACTTAAAAATGCATGGACCTACCTCATTGAAATTTATGACTAGTAAATGGAAAATAATATTAACCATAATGTATTTAGCACCTGCTATACTTTAGGTACTACTGGGCTCTTGAATTTCAATAATCCTCACAACCCCCTGCGATAAGAAGGTATTAGCTCCATTCTACAGATGAGATAACAAAGGCTTAGTTAAAAGTTAACTGATCCAATCATCTGGATTCCAAAGGCCATGTCCTTCCCACCCAGCTATGCCACCTGATAGCTGTTAACAATTAAATTTCTAAAGTGAGACTAACTCTATAACGATACAGCATATTATATATTTCCTAAGTAAAAAGCAACAACAGTCATTCTGTCATGGAATCTATCCTGACGATTTACCCTCATGAATCCTAAACGCCTAAAATTTTGGCCATGATAAGTCTTAACAAATGCAGATGTTGTTTTAAGAGATTGTATATTCTGAAACTGGAGTTTAAGTGAATGATTTCTTCCCTAGGGAAATACTAAATAAAGTATCTCATTAGATGCAGATAACTAAATCATGGATTTTTTTTTTCACCGATTCTTTAAAATATAGGATTTTAGAGGTAGGGTAAACTTGTTTCCAAGGAGTCATTTCCAGAGCTTCAATAAGTCACATGTTCCACAGTGAGTCAGGTCTTTGGAGGACGGTCTGAATCAGGCTTCTCTCGTGTGGAAGGAGACAGTTCCATCTGGCCCAGTTGAGTTTTTCAGAAAGAGGGTGAAGTGGATGTTTTTAAATGACTTAGGGCAGGTAGATAACTTCTTTAATTATGTAGGCCTCTCTTTCTCTTCTTTTACAGGTAATGGAAAAATTATTTCAAAACCCATAAATATGAAAATAACTTCCCAATATCCTCTCCCTCCTTTTCTTCCCCCAGCTTGTTCTTTGGAAATCTCTACATATATTTTGCTTGGCAAGGGAAAACTCAAATATCAGGTTTGTTTTATTCACTGTGCTTTATTCAGATAGGTTCAAAGCAAAATAGCTGTTCCACGAAAATACCCCATATTGCTTTGTTCACATTGTTCTAGTGAACCGTGGTACCCTACGTCCTCAGATTTTAGCTTTTAGTAATCTTTTCCCTTGGATTATGTTATTATACTAAGACTACAGTTTATGAATGCACTTCAGGCAGCATCTCAAAGTGTGGGAGAAGGTTATGTATGCTCTGTGTGAGGAGACTAGTCAGTTGTCAGAAGACTTTTTAATTCAGTTGTTTTGTCTGTTCCCTTCTTTGATTAAAAGAATAAGATTAAGTTCTTGTGCTGTTTTTCTTTTGGCTTATTAGTAATTCTCTGACTGAAAGACAAAGGGGGATGTATCCTATTTTTCTCTTTGCCCTAGGTTTTTACTGATGCAGTAAAGTAAGATTTAATGACAAAGTGTGTTGATGGTTATAAACAAACATAGTACTGAACATAATGCTAACTCTGGAATTGTTTGTATGGCCAGTACTATCTACTTTCTTCTTTGTTTTTCTCCCTAGAGAGTGACCGAAGAACAGTGTTTATCGCCCTGACAGTGATTAGCCTTGTGGGGACAGTTCTCTTCTTTCTCATTCGGAAACCAGATTCCGAAAATGTCCTGGGAGAAGATGAATCTTCTGATGACCAGGACCTGGATGTCAACGAGTAAGAAGTTGGAAACATTCCTTTCTATTTTAAACTATATTTTGAGTAGGTCTAGTTTAGGAATTACCAGCCTTTTATAGCCCTAACTGATAATCCGGTGCTGGGCAGACATGAGGGAAAAGTTTTAAAGCAAATAAGCAGAGAAAGAAGATCAAGGGGAGCTGCCAGGGAGGAGGAAGGGAAAGGAAGGTAGACAGAGGTGGGGAAGGTAGTGAAAAGGTTTGTGGGGGATTTAAGTCTAATCCCAGGTCACCAGCTGTGTGACCGTGGACAGTAGCAATGTTCCCCTGAGTTTCTCTAGGCCTCAGTTTCCTCATTCAATTCAGCAGACATTTCCTGTGTTTTAACGTGTGAAGATATAGGCTCATAAATTTATATAGAAAACAGGGCTTCCCTGGTGGCGCAGTGGTTGAGGGTCCGCCTGCCGATGCAGGGGACGCGGGTTTGTGCCCCGGTCCGGGAAGATCCCACATGCCTTGGAGCGGCTGGGCCCGTGGGCCATGGCCGCTGAGCCTGTGCGTCCGGAGCCTGTGCTCCGCAACGGGAGAGGCCACAGCAGTGAGAGGCCCGCGTGCCGCAAAAAGAAAAAGAAAAAAAAAAAAGTTATATAGCAAACAATCCTCAGTTACTGTTTCTTGGATCCAGCCCTAAAATTTTCTGATCATGTGGTACAAGTGAGTGGCAGGGCCATCAGCAGTCATTACAGATGAGCTGTGGTTACACCCATGCTCTGGATTTTTTTTTTTTTTTTTTTTTAACCCGGCATGCGGGCCTCTCACTGTTGTGGCCTCTCCCTTTGTGGAGCACAGGCTCTGGACGCGCAGGCTCAGTGGCCATGGCTCATGGGCCCAACCGCTCCGCAGCATGTGGGATCTTCCCGGACCGGGGCACGAACCCGCATCCCCTGCATCGGCAGGCGGACTCTCAACCGCTGCGCCACCAGGGAAGCCCCATGCTCTGGATTTTGCACTAACCTGTGCAGGTAGTTTTCCCTGATGTAGTCCCTACTGGGAAACAATTACATAGTCCTGTTTTTCTAAAAATTGTGAATTACCTTGAGCATATTTCTTTTCTTTTCTTTCTTTTCTTTTTTTTTAACAAAACTTTTTGTTGTTGTTTTGTTTTGGCTGAGCTGCATGGCACACAGGATCTTAGTTCCCCGACCAGGGATGGAACCCGCGCCCCCTGCAGTGGAAGCGCGGAATCTTAACCACTGGACCGCCAGGGAAGTCCCAACAAAAGTTTATTTTTAAATGTACAATAGGCTCCAAAACAACACTTCATTCTAGTTGTAGGTGGCAACAGATGTTATGACTGGGAAATCCAGATGGTTAAACAGGAATGGAATTAAGGACCATCATTGCCTCAGGCACAAAGAACAGCTTACTTTCGGCCATATTTCTTAATTCCACCTCTGGCCAGCGGCCCTTCTCTGAGGCGTCCTCTTTCTGTTTCTGCTTAAATGTCTTATCTTGCTTGGCTGCTTCCTTGGGCTGCTTCAGGGGCTGCTTCTTGCCACCTTCGAGGCAAGACATGGCTCCTTCCTCCCCTTCCCCAGACCCTGCCATCGGAAGCAGGGACCTATTTCAATTATAAGGAAAATTGTTTGAAACCTCGCAGGTGATTTCTCTGCAGGTTGTCATCTGGATTTGAAGAAAGGGGAATGAGAAATCTTTGCCACTCTTGTTTTGCTTTGTGAATTGATAAAATTATGAAGCTTGCCTTATAAGCGTTTTACCTATTGTTAAAAATTTTGCATCGACCTTTCTGTGCTGCCTTTTTAAAGCCCAAAAAGGGCATAAAATTCTCCAGTCATAGGATCATTAAGCATTCAAAATTTGCACTGTTCAGAGCAAAAAAGACATGTTTATATAAGTATACAAACATTTATGTGTATATGTACCACATACATATTTTTTTAAGCACAAACCAATGGATATTGGAGAAGGGGTCTATGAAGATGAATGCCACAAATTCAACAAAAATTAAACACCCATTCATTCAGCAAATGTTAGGTGTTGGTGCTGTGAAGACAAATACAACCTGTCCCAGTTTTCAAGGAACTTTTCTGATAGAAAAGGGATCATGTAACTGTCATAAGGTGCAATGCTGAGGGGTACCACTTAGCCTTTTTTAGCATTCTCTGTTTCTGAATTGTCTTCCAAACTTGAAACTTGTGTCTTTATTCTGTAAATAGCACCATGTGCCAGCCATCTTCTAAAGGAGAGGGAAGGAGTAATGAACAAGACAGAGAATCCCCTGTTTTTATGTAACTTAATTGTAGAGGGGCTGGTAGACAATACCCTGTAAGAAAATAGCAGAGTAAGTGCTAGAAGGCAGTGAGAAAGGGGGAGGTGGTGGAGAGCTGGGAGGTGAGAAGGTGTGAAGATCTACTGATGGCCATTGCAGCAGATGCCAGGGGTGGAAAGGGGTGTGGTGGGCACCAGGAATGCCAGAGGGCCCTGG